GTTTTTAGGTACAGTAGGTCTATTTAACAGTAGCATTCAAGAAAGTGATGATACTGAATAAAGTAATCAAAATGTAAAAGTAAAGCACTGCATAATCTTCACTGTATGAATGAAACATTCATACATTTATCCTGATTAAAGCTAGTAAAGTTAGTCAAGATTAGTGAGTGATTTTCTATTTTTCTTGATTAATATTGTAGAGACAGACAGCAGCAGGAATATTAGTCTGCTGTCACTTTAAGAGCTGCACAGACCCAATTGATACACAAGCGTTTTCTTTCTCAGCTGTTTATGTTCATTTCAGTCATAGACCAAGACGGGGGTTTTAACATGATTGTGTGTGTATTTGACCGCTAAAGTGCAGTAACTGCTGAAAGAGATCTGAATGAGTGATCGCGCGAGAGAGGACTTCCGTGCACATGCTTCGGGTGTGTGATAGCACGTGAGTTCTTTTTCGAGGTTTATTGCGCTTAATAACTCTTTTTAACATCAAGCACGTCCCGCGCTTTATTTTCTCATTCATGCATGTTTCTTAATCATTCTTAAATTTTCAGTAACTTTAAGCAGTGCTGCGCTGCGTGGATATATAAAATTTGGCATGGCCAGTGTTCATGGAGGAGCTGAAGCAGAGTGCTGAACACACACTGTCCTGCAGTCGCACGTCGACGCAATTTAGGAAATACGGCTCTTATTAAAACTCTGTCATTCTTAAAGTACCGGTGTTGTGCCCAATTTCGACCCCCTGTCAAATTACTACCCCCCTCGTTGAAGCCGCTAACTGATTGCCTAATCCTAACCCCACCCCTAATCCTAACCCCTCCCCCACACCTAATCCTAAACCTACCAATACTAGGGGACAATAATCTGGCAGGGAGTAAGAATTGGGCACAACACCGGTACTACTAAAATGAGGAATTGTACCATTTTTAAAAGCGGGGTATCGCGATACCTTTTTAGTACGAGTATATCGTGCAACACTAATCTCCATGCGAGCCAACCTGCTACCGGAGCGCTCGAGGGCCATCATGAACTCGCTCGCTCAAAGAGGGCCAGTCACGCCCCCTGAAATGCTTTCAGAGAACACTGGGACTGATGCCAGCTGCCTCAGCGGTGTGTTGCTTGGGACTGCTTCAGATGTGGCCATTTCAACTATGCGTTCCTGTGTCAGCCTGGCCATGTCCCCGGCCACCTGAACTGCGGGGCGGACATGTTATCAAGGCAAAGAGTGACTCAGGGGGAGTGGAGACTCCACCCCCAGACCATGAACATGATCTGGAATGTATTTGGACAAGCGCAGGTGGAACTCTTCGCATCAGCTGAGAACTCATTGTTCGTGTTTTTTTTCCATGACCAAGCCTCAACTCTGGGAGTGGATGCGCTCGTCCACCCTTGGCCGAGAGCTCACAACTACCCAGGTAGCCATTGCAATCGGGCCAATTGCGGCTGAGTGTCAGCTCACTCGGCTGTGTTCTGGCAGAAGCTCACCGAAAGTGAGCTAGCTCTGGCCCAGTAATGGTTGCCAGATTTGGCTAGGCTTTGGATGAGCGGACCTGGCCCGATTTGCGCTGAGACACGGCACATTTAGCCACATTCGGCCTGATTACGGACCATAAGGGCTGGTCTGATTTTGGCTGAGATATGGGCATGCATACCCGGACCAGTTTAGGTTGAGTGCTGGGGGTGGGTCTCCGTTTACAATGTGGTAAATAGTATGTAGCAGTGACACTTAAACTTAAACATCTTTTACCTGTCCATGTTATGTTATTTGTTAGTGTATTTTTTATTTTAATTCCTA